AAAAATCTCCCGGGCGCTCTGGGAGCCTCCCGCTCCCGGCCGCCCAGGAGAGAAACAGTGCCTGTCTTTTTTTTCTTTATTCTGACACGAGCGATGTCAGAATAGAAATAAAAATTTCTCCCATTAAAAAGCATTGGGACATTACTATTGGCTATTTCAATTTGCAATAGCGAATAGTAAACTAGCATTGTACCCGCCCTCTGCTGATGAACCTGATGGGGAACTGCAGAGGGCGGGTACAATGCTAGTTTACTATTGTCAGAATAAAGAAAAAAAAGACACAGCAGTGTTTCTCTCCTTGGCGGCCGGGAGCAGGAGACTCCCGGGGCGCCAGGGAGAGTTAGCTGTTTAGAAAACCAGGTTAGCAACCAGGTTAGCAACCAGGGACGCTGATCTCTCTGAAAGTGGCCGGAGCCAGCCGTAAGATCACGGCTGGCTCCGCCCAGCTGTCAGAAGCAGGCTGTCGGTCGGCCAATGGCCGTCCGCTTGGCCAGCTTCGGCTTTCTGCACGGCTCAGCCGAGCTGATGCATATGCGATCGGCTCGACTGAGCCGCTCGGCCATGATCGGGAGCTGTACGGGCTATTGTGAATAGCCCGTACAGCACTCCCTCGGTTCTACTGAACCGAAGGGGTTCTGGGGCCGAAGCTAGCCGAAGGATCGGCCGAAGCTACGGCCAGATCCCTCGGCAGCTTCGTGAATAGACCCCATTGTGTTTTACAGTGTAAAATAAGATATAATGGACTCTCCTACAATAAATGAGAGATCTCATTGGACCTCCATGACCTATACAACAATGCTTAGCCTGCTGCATTATAATATATTTTTTCAAGCACAGTTAGTACTGTGCCGTGAAGGCCTCTTCAAACATACTGCGTTGACCTGCACTGTACTGCACCGGGCAAACGCAGGTCATAGCAAGGACACTCAATCAATTGTTTTCTATGTGTCCCATTCACACTACAACATGGGTGTGATGGGCGATGCACTGTGCTGCAATAAAATGCAAGCATGCTGTATTTATCACAGCGCACTAGATACCACCAGCAGGGTCCTGAATGGAGTGTACACATTGCACACCCCACATGAAGTTAAAAACATTTAAACAATGACAGCTCCGGCAGTGTGTGATTCAGTGCACACTAACGGAGCTGCCACAACTCACTAGCCTGCCTGCTAAAACTTAACTTTTCAGCGGACAGGCTAGTGTGAATGGGTCCTGAAGGTCTGTGCAAATACGTTAACTGTATATGTTGAATGTCACAAACAAGTTTTCAGGGATGCAAGTGCAGGTATTATATGTATAATTTATCAATCTGTGAGTACTAGTTATGTGTTAGTCATGTACATTAAAATATGAGTATTGTTACAATTCCTAGTTATGGAAGCCATGGTTTCCCTATACTGCATGATAATGGCCTGAAACATATACAGCTTAGAATAAATGGCTCTATAATATCACGCTATACTGTATTTCCACTGTGTACCAGTGGTTCTGGATGTACATTTAGCTGTTTGGGTATAAAGGAATCATTTTCATTGCTCTGTCCATTGTCCTGAAATTAGCAATAATCCCCTCGTTTTGGGATATGTGAGGGAATAAAACATGTGAATACCTTCTGTTCAAAAAGGCTTTACTGTGCTACACACTGATATGTTTGAAGGGATTTTTGATTCCTTTAGTCCCTTTTCATAACCTATATTGTTATACTGTCTCAATTTCTATATATTGCATGCATCAGCCACACATTGGCTTGTACTCTTAAAGTTTCATTTGCCTCCTATTTCTGTATATGTTATTATTTGAATATTTCTTGGCATACTGTTTACATCAGTCCTTTTACTAGGCTACTCTCCATATCCTAGTCAAGCAGACTCTGATACGTACACAAATAGGTCTGTTTAGTTGGCTTCTGTTTCACTTACCAGTATGTTCTTGGATTGTATGACAAAACCGGATCACTTGAAATAAACCAATGAAAATAGACATTATCCCTGGTGGGAATTGAACCCAGAGTTCAAGGCCAAGCACAATAACTACATAGAAATTGTGAGAGGGCTTACTGCAGGACAGACAATTGGAAGAATATCCCATTCATCTATCCCACATATAACCATGGAGGTTAATGAGATCTATCACAGTAGATCCCTTTGTTTTCCAATATTTGTCATATAATTAACCCAAGTGTTCTAACCATCTGCTTGGCTGCCTCGACAGGATACACATTTCTTGTTTCCATTAGCCAAATGACTTAGAGAAGACAGCTGAAGCATCACACTGATACCTTTTATTTCATTTTCTTCAACGTGGTATAGGTTTTCAGACGATTTCCAAGATTACGGTTTAATTATTGATGGAGCCGCACTTTCATTAATAATGAAACCGAGAGAAGACGGGAGCTCTACAAACTACAGAGAGGTTTTCCTGGAGATCTGCAGGAACTGCAGTGCTGTTTTGTGTTGCCGGATGGCCCCTTTGCAGAAAGCACAGGTATCAAGGCTTAAAGTTTTTAGTTTTCCAAAGACTTCTTCACAGAGGGGTCAGCACGGTGTCTTAAAGACATCTATCTTTAATCCGCTGAACAGCCCCCAATGTGCAGAACACTAATACCGTGATCATATAACTTTATACATTGGTGTTTTTTTGTGGGGTTTTTTGCTCTTTCTTGCTTCAAATTGATATCCTTTCTACTGATTGGCTTTTTGTACTGTAGTATTCCAATCTGCAGATATGGTTCGATAACATTTTATTGGAACTCGGCAAATGTTAAGAGATAATATACTGTAGGTACTGTAAAAGTAAAGTAAAAAAAAAAAACTGTAATAAAATCTCAGGGATCTATGTAATCATTTCAGTACATGTAGCCAAAAAAGTTGGCTTACTGAGCATATCACAGTTGGTAAGCACATCACCTCTGTGTTTAACACAATGCATAGTACAATAGTAATCTGCTCAAAGAAATAATCCACTTGTTTATTTACATGCTTTGAGATAAAAAGATATAAAAAAAAATGTCAGCCAAACATATGTTAATACATTTAGTGGAATAGTATACATTAGTGAATTCATTTGGAAGTGCACTGTTACAGTATGACCGATCACAGAAGAGACATTTGTTAGCTACAATTGTAACATTACATGTTCTGTTAATATGTCTTAAACATCATGTACTATACATTTAGTGGTGTTCCCCATTAACAGTTAAAAAAAAAAAAGTCCTCTGCAGCGAGTATACCTGCCATCACTGTAAATCAACATGTATTTCTGAATACAATACTTCCCCTCTATTCTGACATATGACTATGACAGGGAGAGGAAGAGCCCCAACTGCTCACATGATGTCTTTCTTCTCCCCATTTCATTTGTCTTAGATTATATTCAGGACAGCAGTGATTAGACTGATTGGTAGTTTTATGAATTGGCATTGACTAAACCGGGGGTGGCCTAAAGGTATGCCATTTGAAGGAATAAAAATGTTGCTTCTCTGCAAAGTAGTTTAGAACATACGGGGGCCCCTTGGATACTCTAGAAATTTTACAGTGGTGAAATAACCCTTTGAAAAATGCCTGTTCATGTGAGTTTTAAAACCGTCCCGTGTTATATGTTCTAAATATAACAAAGAAGTAAACACGCACACACAGCTTATTCTGTAAAACAGTGATAAATGCCATGACGAAGTACAAAGTAACCCAAACAGCTAATCAAAAATTCTATTCTTAAGCAAACATGTAAGACCAACAGGAGCTGCCATTGCTGACTTGCTTTTGAACGCACAAGATTCAGGGCAAGCAGACACCTATTAAAGTCTAAAGAGTTGTCCTGCATACTTTCTCACGGTCAGTGACTTATTATACAGCCCAGTAATAATCAGAAAGGCAGACCCAAAGCCTGCATCTTTTAAAAACAAGATTAAAAGTGGCAAGTCTTACGGGTCTATTCACTAAGCTGCCGAGGGCAGCCGAGTGAACAACCGACCCCAAGTGAAGTGAGCCGAACACTGTTCGGCTATTCACTTCAGGCTGGTACGGCTGATTTCAGCCGTATATCGGCTGAAATCAGCCGTACATCGGCTTGCTTCGCATTTTTTCTATTCTGACATGGCTCTGTGTCAGAATAAAGAAAAAAAGACACAGCAGTGTTTCTCTCCTTGGCGGCCGGGAGCAGGAGACTCCCGGAGCGCCAGGGAGAGTTAGCTGTTTGGAGATCAGTGACCCTGGTTAGCAGGTAACCAGGGACGCTGATCTCTCTGCAAGTGGCCAGAGCCAGCCGTAAGGTCACGGCTGGCTCCGCCCAGCTGTCTGAAGCAGGCTGTTGGCCGGCCTCTCGGCCAGCTTCGGCTTTCAGCGCCGCTCAGCCGAGCCGAGGCATATGCGTTCAGCTCAACTGAGCCGCTTGGCCACGTTCGGGAGCTGTACGGGCTACTGTGAATAGTCCGTACAGCACCCCTTCGGTTCTACTGAACCGAAGGGGTCCTGGGGCCGAAGCTAGCCGAAGAATCGGCCGAAGCTACGGCTAGATCCTTCGGCAGCTTCGTGAATAGACCCCCTAGTCTTTTACGGAGGATGGTTATAAGGTATGGTAAAAGAATGTTGGTTCGCATCTTGTTATAAAGTCTTGGTATAAAATGTTGCCAATTTGGTAACTAATTGTTTAGTTGCTGATAATGTATTTGTTACACTGTACAACATTAATGGACATTTGTCAGGCTCATATTTACGATAAGGCACATATAGGTTTGTATGTAGGGTAGCAGGGTGAAAAAGAGCAGCCACCATGTCCTTTGACTGTTGTTTTTTTTTTTATTAACCCTGCATAGATGTGAGTATATTCAGTATCAGGATGATATGGGGGGAAGGGTTCAGGGCTACTAGAAGTAACAGTGCTTTCAACATCTTGAGTGAGATGAAACGCTCCCCTTCTTCCCACCAGGTATGTTATTAGCGGAATACAATTCTATTAAACAGGCAGCTTGAAGTCTACAACAATGCGTTCAGTTATTGTGTAACGTGATTAGTGACAAGCGAGCTGGAGCCTGTACTAAAAGACATTATTAGCCGTGTACAAATAGAAAAGCATGAGCTTATATGACAGTGCTGACGAAGTACATTCATAACCTTACAGCGTTCTGAGGTTCTGCAAATCAAATTATTGATGATTATAGTTTGTTTTGCCATAAATGTGTAATCCAGTGAAAGAAAGTGTTAATTGTTTTATAGATCGTCAAGCTAATAAAGACATCTAAAGAACATCCAATTACACTGGCCATAGGAGATGGTGCAAATGATGTCAGTATGATCCTCGAAGCACACGTTGGCATCGGTATGTTTGGAGAACTTGTAATGTGGAACTAAATATCTATGTACATTATATGGTGTTAATCTTTCTTCTAATAACACCTCTCTTGCCATTTATTTTACTAAAATAATTGCAGGGATGGGATTGACAGAGAAAAATGGCATTTCATACTTAATAGTTATTGAGTATGTTTTTTGTGTTCCAAATAGTGACCCTATTAAGGTATTATACACAAGTCCATCAAAATCTATGTCCAGATGATATAAATACATTTTCTTTAGGTAGTGGGCAAAACAGGCAAAGCAATGCCACATCTAATTACAAACAGATGAAGTAATGGGATTATTAGTATATGTAAAAAAAAACATGGCATGTATCTGTTAACACCAGGCTTGTGTAAAGAAGGCACAACCAGGATTGTATAAAACCCCTTAACAGGAAATCATAGTGCTGAGACCAAGTGATAGTTTAGAACTAATTTCTAGAAAATAATATGGAATGAGCACCAAGCTGAAAGGAGAAGTGGGGGAACAAAGGGAAGGTAAATATAAGCTGCAGGGTGGGGTTCCATAAAGTTAATCTTTTGCTTTGTTTGACAAAGGGCAATGCACAGGCTCATTTAAAAGTAATTTTTGAGATGATGTCCACATTTTTATATGGTTCCTCTTCCATAGTTTTGTGATTGTGCTAAATGTACACTAGCTACTAGAATGACTTTGCCTAACTGCTTAATGTGGCTCTGTCACTAAAATCTATGGTCAAAGTTTTCCCTGCAGAAAAACCTAGAGTAGTCACCTCTGCTGCTGCTCATCCTGCCAATCTCTGCAGCAGTGAACAGAAACGGACAAAGACCTTGCAGAATCCAACACTTCCAGGAGTGTTGGATTCCTGCCGCCCACAGTGCTCAGTGGTTTGATCCATTGGCCCCTACATCACTACTGTATCTTGTGGTGACATAGGAGCCTGTGGGCGGAACCACAGCAAGTGGCCAGAGAACAGGAAATTGACACTGCTGGAAAGCTCTGATTCTGTGGGATCTTTAGCCGGTGGTTTTTCTTCACTACTGCAGAGATCAGTGGTGTGGGCAGCAGAAGAGCTGAGTATTCCATGTTTCTTTACAGAGAACAGTGTATTTTGAGCATTGGTTTTAAAGAGTTTGGCTACACAGTGCATTGTTTTCAATAATCCAATTGATTCATCGTGAGAAAGAACACTAAAGCATGTTAAGTAAATATACTGTAGCTATCCCATGTACATATGCAACTACAAAGTAAGCATAGAAACAAAGCAGTATAATTATAAAGGATTCACTAGTCCAATCAGAAGGATGCAAAGATGTACTAGTGACTAGTACATCTTTGCATCTTTCTGATTTGACTGATCTCTGTTTTTACAGTTTGAGCAGTTGAAGGGCTATTTTTTTAAGTTTAATAATAAAAACAATTTTTTTGAACATAACCAGGTATGCTATCCCCATAGCAAGGGAGCAGCAAGTATAAAGCCCACTGAAATGTTAATACTACCTTGCATGTCCTTCTGCATTGGAATATGTTTTGAAAGGGGTTGGCCCCCTCTCAAAGGTACAGTGGCCCCTTGCTGATGTGGAAAAATAGCTGGCACATAAGCCTTTCTTGTTAGCCGTCCTAAGCATGGAAGCTACCGTTAAGCCTGGTACCTGTCATCCAGCTAAAAAAATCATTGAAATGACTATACATTCTTCTTTTTTTTTTTTCAGGAGTAATCGGTAAAGAAGGAAGACAAGCAGCCAGGAACAGTGACTATGCAATACCTAAATTTAAACATTTAAAGAAGATGCTTCTGGTTCATGGTCATTTTTATTACGTTAGAATAGCAGAGCTGGTCCAGTACTTTTTTTATAAGGTAAGGATAGCACGACTTTACCAATGAATGTGTGCAGCTCAAACCCAACTTTTTGTTGTTTTTTAACATAATCTTTTGTTTTGCAGAATGTGTGCTTTATCTTCCCCCAGTTTTTATACCAGTTCTTCTGTGGATTTTCCCAGCAGGTCAGTAATAATGAAAAAATATATATAATGCAATAGCAGCATTCTGTTGTCAGGAAAATAAGGGCTGTATAGAGAAATCTAATGTAATCTTAATTCCCACATATATATTTATCCCCACTGTTTTCTAATGTTAAAATTATTTTAGTTCATTTTACATACTCTGCATTGCTAGTAAATATGATATTTATCATGTTACCAATCTAAACCTGCAAATATTTCTTTTTTTTTCAGCCTTTATATGATACTGCGTACCTAACACTGTACAATATCAGCTTCACTTCGCTGCCTATACTGTTGTATAGTCTAATAGAGCAACATGTTAGTATGGAAATCTTGAAAAGAGATCCCACGTTATACAGGTATATTATACAAATTGCATATTGGGTAAGAATGTGTGTGTATGTGGGTATTGAGTGAACTGAATTTCTTAGATTATGATTACTGTTTTTATACTTCTGAATACATTTTAAGAAAAAGGAAACAAGCAGTATTAATACAACATAGATCACATCAATAGAACTATTTTTCCAATTGGGGATTCTGTCTTGAATTAACTGCAGACAGGTTTGTCCACCAACGGCTTTCATTTTTCACATACTGGGTGAACCTGCTCCTGTTCAGGGATAAGCGAAACTTAGGGAGCTATTCACAAAAGGGTGAAGTGTTTGGAGAAGGCAGGAGAAATGAACAATCTAGGCCAAAATAGATGATTTGGAAAAATTCTCCAATTCAGCTCACTTTCCAGTTCAGCTATGTTGTCCCAGATTGGGACAACATAGCTTATCTTGCACTTCTCCTGCCTTCTCCAAACTCTTCATCCTTTTGTGAATAGACCCCTTAAAGTGTTAATTTTTCTGAAATTTTTAAAAAATGTGGTTGATTTTGGTGAAATTTCACCATATTTTGAAAAATGCATTGCAGTCACCAGGGAAGGAGACATTAAGGGTTTTTTTTTGTGATGACCTTTAAATAGCGCTGGAAGATTATTGAAGGGCCTTTCAACTGCCTTGAACCTGGACCCATTCTGCTGCTAAGAACGGCCTCTCATTAGGCTTATTTTACATTTTATCAGAAAAAGAAAAAAAAAAACACCTGTGAAAATATACGTAAACTACAAAATATGAATTGGCAGTATATTAATAAAGTTAAAAAAACATCAATACAAAGAACACAAACATTTTTTTCTAAAAAATGAAAAAAAGTAGATAGCTTTGATTATTAAAGGAGAATTATGAGGTGAGTGCTTTTCACTCAGCCTCATAATCTGAGACGACCTGTGACAATGAAACTGTCACAGGTCGGCTCAGTAGATCAGGAAGTGAGCGAACACATACCGGCGCTTGCTCACTTCTCGACCTATCCATGCAGAGAGCCGTGACTGTCACTTACGTCTCCCTGCAGGGATCCCCCCTCCCCTGTCCGATCCTCCAGCGCTGACTGGCAGAACGGACGGGGGGAGGTGGTGGGTACAGCTGGCTCTGCCTCTAGATAGGGAGAACCAGCTGCCTCTCATGCAACTGGGTTGATCCTGACAGAATTGCCGGGATCTGTCCGGCTGCGGCGTCTCAGTATACTGAGCTTTGGGTGACGGGAGAACGCTAGTTTGTGCCTCCCGTTACCCTTAGGAGAACTATGGGGAAAAGCCCTGACCCCATAGTTCTCCTTTAAGCAAATTTTACCACAGTAGTTGAAGGAGCGAAAGGTAACATTTCCGTTTCTGCTGTAATTTCATGGCAAAATCAGTTTCCAATATTATTAGACAGAGGCAGCATGGGAATGTTAGGGTAGGAAGATCTCACAAATGGGCAAAATATCATAGCCAACTGGTTACTGAAGTTTTAGCAAGGATACGTAAGGAAAATGTTAATAATGTGCGTAGTATAAACAATTTTAAACAGGAGATCTTTTGACTTAAATCTTCCTTATCTGGGTTGAAAATATTAGATTTTTAGTTTGGCGATGCAGCTTGCTTAGTTAAATTGATTGATATAGGGCAGGATAAACAAACATCTGTTCTGTCTCTTTTATAGGGATATTGCCAAGAATGCTCTACTGCGATGGCGTCTGTTCATTTACTGGACTTTCCTAGGACTGTTTGATGCAGTTGTGTTTTTCTTTGGGGCCTACTTCCTGTTTGACAATGCCACTGTGACTAGCAATGGACAGGTATGTGCTCAAGGAAATCTGGGGCAAAGAAATTATTGTGGTTCTTAGTGTCAAACAGACAACAGCAAACAGGTATACTCATTTATTTTCATAGATTTTGCAGCAAACGCTACCTTCCTACTAGCCAACACCATACAGTGTATGCCTCTATATACTTACTGAGGGGAATTTATCAAAATTGGAGCAGACCAAAACAGGAGCAGCTCTGCATGGCAACCAATCAGCATCTCTCTTCAGTTTGTTCAGTTAGGATTTGAAAATGAAGGAGAGAAGCTGATTGGTTGTCATGCACAGCTGCTCCAGTTTTTGTCTGCTCCAATTTTGATAAATTCCCCTCACTGTATATTAACTGCTATAATGTCCAGGCTTTACAACATATGGTTCTGTGGCAGATTTTACATATACTTAGAGGGGAATTTATCAAAACTGGAGCAGACAAAATCTGGAGCAGCTTTGCACGGCAACCAATCAGCTTAATTTTCATTTTCAGATCTTAACTAATCAAACTGAAGAGAGAAGCTGATTCATTGCCCTGGGCAACTGCTCCAGATTTTGTCTATTCCAGTTTTTGATCATTTCTTCTCTGTATGTGTACAACAAGTTTATTAAGGTAGGCTTTATGCATGCACGGTTATTAATTCCAAGTCTCTCCTTTTTTCTAGATGAGTGGTAAAAAAGCTTTTACCGCTCATCAGTTTAGTGTCATCAGTGATTACTGCCCCTAGAATTATTGCTCCCACTCTGACGTTTGCAGTGATATATATCGTGTGGCGTAATCTTTGTAGGCGCACCCGACGCGTATTTACATGTATATGTGCGTGCATGCAGGGGCTTTAAAAAAAAATTGTGTTTTATTTTATTTTTTTAAACTTTTTTTTCATATGTGACTTTTAATATTTTTTTTTTTACTTTTTGGTTTTTACACATAACTTTATTGCTATCACATAGGGGGCTTGTTATACAATGACACGTCCTCCTTATTGAGACATCAGGAGTCTCTACGACCCCCAATTTTATCTAGGGACTCCATAAGAAGCTGATGAAGAGATTTGCTTCCCCAGCTTCTTCTCTGGCTGTAGCAGCCAGAAAAAATGACAGCTAAAGGCAGAAGTGATGTAATACACTTCACTTTCACCTTCAAGCATCGGAGGAGAGATCAGCAGTGGCGAAATGCTGATCTCTCCTCTGTTGCTAGTGTAAGGAGCCCCTGTGCCGGGCCTGGGCCCACAGGGGGGGACATCTGCTCACGTGTGCGTCCACCCGCCAAGAAGATTCCACCGTCCGCCCATGTATTTACAACCTGCGGGTGGCAAGCGGTTAAAATAGCTGCAGTATCCCAGTGGACTTCCTGTTTGTTTTGACATTAATGATCCCCAGGAAGTAAACAAAGACGAGTTGAGGCTCAATTCACAAAGGGAACAAACCTCCATAAGGATGCTTATTTTTTAAATAGTATCAGTTATTCTTAGATGAGTCCATTGAGAATTGGAAATTAGTTATATGGCTAAAAAGAAGATCCTTATCCTTGTGCTAATGCTTTGGGAATTGATCATTAAGTAACATATAGCAGCCAATCCCGTTGCTATTGCACACTTTTACTGCCAGGGGTCTCAAGCAACTGTTTTCTCTATTCTCCCTTGATATTAGTACAGGAACCTGTACTGACTTCCCACCTCAGAGCTCATCATAGTAGAAGCGTGTGTAGGATCAGTAAATGCACCTGGTAAGCATACATTAGAAGTAGAGATGCATACATCATATAGGAGTCTGTTTTAAAAATAAAGTTTGCTTCGGAAGAGTTAATCTGAATTATAGGAAAAATAGAACTGCCAAAGTATCTTTCTGAAAGAAATGACCAGACTAATTCCTTGAATTAACGATTGTGTGATCATAATAATATAGACTACAGTAAAAATAATACATTTTCATTTCTGATAAATGCATGTATTAATTTGTTTATGTTATACGTCATTTTGTAGCCATTTTCTGCTTAAATGGGTTATGTATCAGAACAAAGCACAGAAACAGTTGAATATAAAACTGAAACTATCCAGAATGGGAAGTTTTATGCTACAGATGTTTTGGATTTGCTTTGATACATACTCTTTCAATGTTACACCTTCTGCTTTATGGTCATAGTTTTGTCGTGCTGTGCATGTTTATGTTTATGTTTCTTTTGCTTCTGCCACTGTTGCTTTCCTCAGATCTTGACAACCAACACGTATATGGTAAGGCGCCCGCTGATGTGTTATGCTGTGCAGTTCTATCCATTCTCTTACTAGACATTTTAGATAGAAACCTTTTGGATATTACCCTTATTATTTTGCTTTTGCTATTGCAGTGTATCTTAATACAAACAATAGGTGTTACTTTTAGAAAGAGCAATACTGTAGAAAACAAATCAAAATAAGTCTAGTATTGTTAGTACATGTGATGCAGTAACTGGACTGAGGCAGACTATCCATTATTCTACTTCGTGTACTTAAGTAGCTGTGGATGGTTGCTAAGGTTCAGATTCTCAAAGTTTGTCTCTAGCTTATTTTTTAATCTTTATTGTGTAGTGCACTAGTTGTATTACTCAAAACGTCAGACTTCTTCATTAAAGTTAGATGCAAGACATGGTGTGCCATATCACATAGCAACACTTAGCTAAAACCAAATAGAAGGTTGATTTGGTGGCTGTGGATACTAAATTTAGCTAATTGCTTCTTGTGCATTTTTATTGGATAGGCTAGGTAATCGGTTTCTGAGAGCTGCTGAGTGAAGGTACTTTCTATACAGCAGTAACATCCTATCTAAGATTCTACCTTGGTTGCAGCACACTGTGGCTAAATGGGGCCATGGCCAAAATATAATTTTTAGGAGCATGGCCAGGTCAAGGGATTGTGATAACACTCAGCAAAATGCTAATTCCAAAAACAAACATGCAATATGTTGCACCTCACCAGTCCTTAGATGTGGTGGCTGCTTTGGCTTTGCTTTTTCAGGCTTGTATCCTTTATTTTCACATGGTGATCCTATTAGTGACACCATTCCTGTTCTAGAGGGACAATGCTCATGTACTGTGCTCTGCCTTTGGAAGAACAGTCATCATAGGTTGCTCATTGCTAATTTGAACTAGATACCACCTCTCCCTCTCAGCATCTCCATGACATAGGGAAGAGGTGTTCTGTAGTCCCCAGAGAGAACTGGGCAGGGCTGATAACACTGCTAGCTGATAAGGATGTAGCACAGGCAGAGAGCACAGGAAGTAATCAGCTCAGTAGATTTCTGGCAGCATTAACAGTACAGCACAATACTTTACTGGTAAATGTAACAGACCGAAATAAAGCAAACAAGAGAAGTATATTGTTAGGGTTTACATACACTTTAAATACATTACTCACCATCCCTTATGTTATGTACATTGATAAGTGTTTTCTAAAAACCATAGGTTCTCTCTGAGCCCTGTTTGGTGCTGATTAAATAAGTAAAGTAATAATAAAAAAATGTAACAACTTCTATCTTTTTTGGCTTTGACATTTTTTATAGATGCTGGGAAATTGGACCTTTGGAACACTGGTATTTACTGTCCTAGTATTTACGGTTACACTTAAGGTAAGATTGGAATCTTGTTTCAATTACTGTATTAAAGATGCCTGAAGAAAATAAACTGTATGATATATAAACAATTCTATATTATCATTGTGGGACTATTAAACAGATATAGTGGTGAATAAGATAATTCATAATTTGTGTCAATATAATTATTTACCTATTAGTCTTTTTTATATCCTTTGCAATAAACATCACTATACTGCACATCTCTAGGATAGCAGAGTTTCAGATATCTTACATTATATTTTCATTTTGATATTTGTGCTGGAACAAGTGAGAGATGTGCATTGTTTGGGTTTGCATACACTTTAAGTCATCATGGCTTGGGAAAAGAAATTAACAAGGTGTGCCTTACCACCCACAATGCACCCACACAAAACATGAACTAACACCAATCTAAACACAAACACAGTTTCTTATGGCAATAGTGAGATCCCTAAATATACAATTTCAGTAGTTCTGGCTCTATTTATAAAGCTGGGTGGCCTGATGGTATTCCAGATTAACTGATTTCCTTATTCATTTGTTGTCTGAACCTGCCCTGATTTATGTTCATTAGCAGGCATCAGGGCTAAATTATTTCCTCCTGCCCCCAAGGCCAAATGTCTTATGCCACCCCTTCCTATCCCAGTTGGCTGGTGAGCCTTAGTATTACACTGACAAGATCAGACACCATGGCACACTAGACTCTTGTGGGGAAAAAAGACATTGTAAGATAATGTTCCATTCTATATTAATACACCTAGAGCTGATGGCTAAAAGTATAGGATAATCTCTCATTATACTCTGCTTGTAGATTGGTTCTAGGTGTATGAACCCATAATGTATGCACCGCAAGTTTACAGTGAACCATTTCAGCAACAAAAATGTACCAACACATCACCAATGCCCCAGCTGGAATGCTGTGGCAGGCAGCAGTCTTCAGTCTTTTATTTTGCACAGGAATGTGCTAATAACACTCAGTAAATGTGTGGATGTCTCTGTTCTATCAATGGCAACCCTGCTGCCCTAGGCTATAGCCTTTGTTGGCTCTGTAGAAATCCAGACTTAGGAGGCCTGCTGGGCCTGTACCCAGGATCAGGGTCATACACAAATCCTCATTTTCTTTAATACTTTCACATGTTTGTCTATTATAGGTATTGATTTTTTTTTATTAACGAGTCGTAGCTCTCAAAGATTGACACTGTAGTTATGGTTAGCCTGATTGGCCGGGAAGCCGCCTTCACACTTCCTCGCAGAACTGCTGGTCATCGTGGTAAGTACCGGAGCATTTGGGAGAGTACGAGTACTCGCCCAGATACTCGGTATTCGCACCGATACCAATACTAGTATCAGAATCGGTGCATCCCTAGTTATGTTTCAGTGTCCACGTTATCCTTTAAGAGCCTGTTCATGCGGGCTTTCCGATCAGGTCCGATCAGTTTTTCAGGTGGATCTGATCAAAAGCCAAGTGTTAGTCTTTGGGCAACTGGATCTAAATGGACAGGCGTCCGTTTACATCCGATTACCCCCGACTCCGGCCAGGTCCAGAAAAAAACGGATCAAACTTCTGTTTCGCCAGACCTGATCGTGCCGGATCGGGGGTAATCGGAGGTAAATGGACACAAGTCTGCTTACATCCAATTCCCCATAGACCAATGCAGGTCTGACAATTTAAGTTTTTTCCTCCATCCCAAGATGGAGGAAAACATTGGACATACACAGATGTCACAATGGGGACATCCGTGCCAATTATGCCTAATACTGCACTGTACTTTAATACAATTTACTGTTTCTGCACAGACAATTTAATGGCTTTGATATAACCTGTTTCATTTACTTTCAGCTTGCACTGGATACGCAATACTGGACGTGGATCAACCACTTTGTGATCTGGGGATCACTTATATTCTATATTGTCTTTTCTTTGCTTTGGGGAGGGATTGTCTGGTAAGCGCCCCTTCTGGTCAACATTATTACATAGCTATACCTTTAAATAAAGGTTTGTGCATGGTATATTTTCAGGGATATATAATAAGGTAAAGGGCACAAAGCAAAATTCATCCAATTATAACTTTTCTAACTGATCTAAAACTAAAAAGAGAGGTCATCTGGTTACTTTCTATGGTTTGCTACACCTTGCACTTACTCTTGGAACTGACTGATTAAAGCTCAACTCATTTTTACCGGGGAAAAAACCCTTCTCCTCACCCCCTGAAAGAAGTACCCAGTCTCTCCACAATACAACAGGATGTTCCTTGTCAACCTCACAGACAAAAGACACAAAACCCTCCCCCCAGTGCTGAGTGTCTTTCTTCTTCCCAGTGTCATTAAATCAACTTCTTCTAAGCTCAGGGCATCAGGGACATGCCTCCTTGGAGGTGCATCATTAGGCTGCCCTGGGCCTATAGGAGAATGATGCACAGAACAGTGCCCTGGAAAAAAGGGCCATGGAGTGTCACATGACTGGACCAAAGACCTCTCCACAAAAGGTACGTATACAAACAAGAAAGGATTGGGGAGGACCTGCAGTTTACATTTGGGTGAGGTTGGATAGTGTTTAATACCCCACTGGGTCACTGGATCTTCCTGTTTTCCTGGACCCCAGCAAGATCACCCCCTATTACTGCTACTTGCCAAATTTGAGCGTCCTCTGTATTTCTCTAGAGAATATTTTGTGGTCTCAAATGCACATTTGCTTATTTCACAAAATCTATGTGCAAAGTATAGCAACCAATCGCATATTAAGTTTCACTAATCTGACTAAACATGATTGGTTTATCAATCAATTGGTCAATTGGTTTTACTGATCTTTTATAATCTATAATCTCCTGTGGCTATTTGTATATCAGGTAGGCAGTTGACACTCTTTAATGCTAAGATTACACAGTGAGATTGATTCCTTCTGAGATGAAAGCAAATATATGATAAGCCACTTGTGCATTGTATTGTTTTCAGTAAGTCCGAGCTGACTGATAGACTTGCATTAGGAGAAAGCAACAGTTATGTACAACCACTCTACTGCATTACTAGGAAGAAAGCAGAATATTCATGTTCAAAAAGCAAATATTGCTGCTGCTAACGGAAATAAGTTGGTTTTACAAGAATCAATAAAATGATTTACGTTAAGTCGACCACATTCATATGTACATATCAAAGATTAGCAATGTCTTTTAAAGTAAACCTATCAGTATGTAAGACTGCCTATAATGCCAGCATAAGGGCTAGTATGCTTTTCTTGTATTCCTTAATGCAAGTCTAGGTGGATGTAGCCAAAACCCAACTTAAATGCTAGTGTGCACTAGACCTAAATGAAATGCAGGCATTTTCAGGAGCCCCAAAGCCCAGGGCACTATTAAAGTCAAATGTTGGCCTGCTACATCCAGCAACTAGTTGTTGGTCACTTGTACCATCCATCACACCGGAGAACCAATAGGTAAATGCAGAATGGGGCAGGCCAGCCTTTAGCCCTCTTTGTAAACTCAATATCCGTTAATAGGGGTGCCCAAAACACTTGAAAAGCTGAGGAATGTTACTTGCAACCAATTTAAGTTGCCTGCATTCATTTATGCTACACATTTGTTTATTGAAAGGCCGTCTCTTTAAATTAGGCCGTTTTTAAATGAATGGCTCCAAGTTCAGTCTTTTCGTTGGATACAGTAACATTTCTATGCATGAATTGGACTACCTGGGCAATGCGTGAAAGGCTGAATCACTGTTTAATAAACACCAAGCTCAAATAAATCTTTTGGTGCTTTCAGTCCACTTACAAAACATTTTCAGAAACAAACAGTGCTTTAATATGGCTTTCTGCATTCTGTGCTCTCGTTAGTCTATCATATCTAAACAGTTGGTATAAATTAATAGTAGGAACGTACAAGTGCAGACCCTTCACTTTGTGGACCTTTTATTTAATTATTTATGTAAATACTAACTTGAGCTGTAAAAAGGTTTTTGGCTGCCCCTTCTGCATCCCACACCATCTGTTCTTGAGTGTGCATGCCCATCGGATTATTGGACCAATAGGGGAGTGCAGAAGGTCCCAGCAAATCAGTACTTAGACAAACAAGTGTCCCTGGTTCAGGGCTCCCGATGCTCTCAGAAAGATTCTACAGGTGCCTGGATTCAATTTGTACTACCATTTTTAAAGTTGTAGATCGAGTGGTTTTTGTTTTTTTTAATGCCCACATGGTGGTTTTGTGTTTTTCAAGAACTAGTATTCTCTGTTTCATTACACCTTTCTCTATCAAACCTACCATATCATTTTCTTTTCTCTCAATAATTCATATTTTATAGTGGATTCTGGCTTCAAGCCTTACTGTTGGATTTTATTGGTTATTGAACTTAATGTGGTGCCGATTTGGCAGTAAAACTACATGTGATGTCTGGTTTTGAACAAAATGCCTGAAGAACATAGTTAAATTATTAACGTTCACTGTGCTGTAGATGCCACGTTATTATTCGGAGCTGGTGTGTGTTGTGGGGACTTCCATCTGCTGAGTGTACCAAGTGATTGAAGTTTACTCCTATAAACTTTCTTATTAATGGTACATTTAGACACATTTAGACAGACAGCCATACAAGCAGTAGCCTATAGATAGAATTTGCATATAGAAACAAGACAGTTATATTTATTCATTTTCTAGCCTGTGCTGACAAATTGACGGCTAGACTTAGGCAACACAGACGCTATAGTTGTTTATTATTTTTATTTTGTAGTTCGCTTTTTATTATTTTTAATGCTATGAACAGCTATGGATGTTAGTAAAGTTTTTAAGTTGTATGCAAAAAGTAGTACAGGTCATAATTTTTTTGTAGCACAATAATCATATGAAGTATGTTCACACAAACAGAATAGGAGAAAGGACACAATGGTTTGTATGTGTGTCTAATATAATAACAAAGTTATACTCGCCCAATCCTCCAAGCCAGCTGGCTGTGCTGCCTGTCTCCTCCTGCACTCCAGTGATAGTATGTCCCTCAGCATCCTCACGTCCTATACACTGTGTATAGAATGTGATGAAATTAGACTGCTGCAGCACAGTGGGAGCAAGGCTGGAAGGACTCGTCTAAGAGCAAGCCGGTCCAGAGGATCAGGTGAGTATGAGGGGGTTGTGGTGCACATGGTGGCACATGCAAGCGATCCGACAGCTATAGAGCCGCCGATTGTTTGTATGTGTAACTGCCGGCAACGGCTGTACAGATTCCCGGTGGGATTCTGCTCGCGCGCGCCTAGAAAAACAATGACGTACATTTACGTGACCCCGCTGGGAAGGTTCCGCCATCCGCCCATAATTTTTCAATGGGTGGATGGCAAGGGGTTAAAGATAAAATGGGAAAAATCAGGGGTTAATAGGAAAAACATTTATTTAAACATAAATAAAAACACATCTTTGTTTTCCTATTGTCAGGTTTGCTTTCCCCATTCACACTGAGCTACAACAAAATAAGTGCTTTTTCAGCGCTGATTTGAGATGAGCGACTATGAGTGACATTGAGCTACATTGGGCTACAGTGCACATTTTGTCACGCTACATAGCGCTTCTTTTGGCAGTCTATCAAAGTCTATTGGGGCTAAATTGCTCAAAATCTTCCGAAAAATAGCTCATGTTTATGTGATAAGCTTCAGCTACAAGCTACAGGTGACATTGAGCTGCCGAATGTGAACATCTCCATTGAAATGTATTGGAAGTGCTACATTGAGCTATATTGAGCTTCATATTTGAGCGATTTTTGAGCGGAAATCGCGCTAGCATATGCTCAGTGTGAATGAGTCCTTGGAACTCCTGTGTTAAAAAAAAAAAAAAGCTGCAGCTACCTATAGTTTAACTGTTTGTTTTATTTACATTTTAACAAGTAAGTTAAGATGTACATTACATTGATCACTGCAGAAGAATCTGCTCCAGCAACTGTGATACATAAAGATTGGGATTAGAGATAGGAATATAAAGTAGAGGTTGACTGATTATCGGATCTACCAATAATTGGGGCTGACATTCCCACATTTTTTAAATATCGGTTACATTTGACCAATATTACCAATAATAAATACTGTTTGTATTTCAGCCAGTTCTTGAGAAACCAGCCGAAATTCGCACAGTGTGTACCGCTGTCTGGCTTGCATCCCTCGATCAGCTGATCGAAGGAGCTGGCCAGAAAATCTATGTAGGAACAAAGCGACAGCCAATGAGCTGTTCAGGTATTCTAACAGTGGCCAGCGGCCGCCGTCAGAGTACAAAAAAACAGCAGGTAGCTAGGGAAGCAATAGCCAGCCTGCTTTTGGCTAGTTCAAATTGCAGTAGCCAATAGCAGGCTGGCTATTGCACTCGGCCACTGCTTGCAGTCAATCAGCAGAGGAGTGGGCCTGAAGGAGAATTTTCTGCTTCAAGTCCTTCTCTACTGAATGACATCAGGCAGTGGGCGGGTGCAATAGCCAGCGTGGTATTGGCTATTGCAATTTGAAATAGCCAAAAACAGGCTGGCTATTGCTCCAAGCCACTGCGTATCAATCAGCAGAGGAGCAGACCTGAAGGAGAACTTTCTCCTTCAGGTCCTCTCCCCCACTTATTGACAGCAGGCAGTGGGTGGGTATAATATCCAGACTGCTTTTGGCTATTGCAATTTGAAATATCCAATAGCAGGCTGGCTATTGCACTGCCCACTGTCTGCTGTTTACATTCAGCTTCTGGCTGCGGAATCCTGCCCCTGGCAGAAGAGGCTCATTAGGGATTGTCCGATATCAGGCGACTGCCTGCTGTTTACATTCAGCTGCAGGGGCAGTTGGATGTAAACAGAATATCGGTACCTGATATAGTTTATTGGCCTGAAAGGTGGCCCATAATCGGTATCTGCATTGGTTATGAAAAATCCATAACGGTCGACCTCTTCTATAAATCTCTGGGAGAGCTCACTTCATCAGGTCTTCCATCTTCAAATGAGGAGATCCCATGTCCTAATGACTCTAGGAAGGTCAGAGAGGGGCATTTATAGACTGGGATAGTGCTGGTTGGTGTTCCATGAAAACATTTAACATGGCATGTTTACAGTTTTTAATATTTAAAACAAAATGCTGTAGTGAAACACACATTACATCAAGTATTGTGTTTTATTTTTTAACATTTTGTATTATAATTTAAATGTGTCTTGTCTTTTATCTTTTTAGGCCTTTTCTAAATTATCAGAGGATGTATTATGTATTTATGCAAATGCTGTCCAGTGGTCCTGCATGGCTGGGCATTATAATCCTCATTACAGTCAGTCTCCTCCCCGATGTTCTGAAGAAGATGATATGCAGACAGTTCTGGCCCACGGCCACAGAAAGGATACAGGTAAACAATAACTACCCACTAGCATATATTCTTGGAATACACTACCATGCTAGGTAGATGCAATGAAGAAATAATATAATAAGCATCTGCATAAATAAATCTTATTCAATATGAAAATGGTATGCAATATAGTGGTCAGAAGTAAAGCTTTCATGTTAATACCCTTATTTGTTTGTTACACGGAATTTATCCATATGTTTGCTAATATAATGGTTTTAACGTATTCTTTAAATGCATTCTATTGATTAAAGGGAACCTGTCAGGATGGTGGCTCTTTGTCACAGTGCCACCTCAATGTAGAAGGCTACCATTGTCAGACTTCTGGAAGCCAAGCTAATTCTGGGGCAGGCATATCAATGTGTGCTGATGACAAGGGTATGCACGGCTTTAGAACTAACCCTGTTTTCAGGAGTTGGACAGTGGAAATCTGGATTGAATCCTCAACTGTGCCAGATTCTGGCCATTTTTACTATTTACATTTTAAAGTAGACCTGTCAGCAAGTACTGTTTTGATTTAACTTGAATACTATTCAAAGTGCAATAAACTAGCAATAAATCAAGCCATCTTTTTGCATATAATTAATTTGACTTCTTTTCTATTCAACTCGGTACCTCTGAGGTACCGAGCAGAATAGCTGAGCCCAATGCCACTCGGCGGCACATTCACTCACTGCCCTTCGGCCCCTATGTGAATAGGGGCGAGTGGCAGCAAGCGAGCTGCCGGAGCTTTGGCTCAGCTGATCCAGATGTTGGATCAGCTGAGTCGATGTCCCTCTGCACTTCGGCTCAGCCGAACATGCAGAGCATGTTTGGCTGACTAAAGGCAGCTGATGTACGGTTGATTTCAGCTGTCGCTCGACTCTGTTCACTTCGGCTCCGTTATTCACTCAGCTTTTTCATGAAATAAGCAGTAAACATATATAAAACACTGTCTCAGCGCATTTTGTGGCTCTACATTGGCCACCTCTTCAAGAAGATGTGGAAAGGTACTACCAGACAAAAGATGTTTAAAGTACTAAGAGATATGCTGATACAGGCAAACCTGCTATTAAAATTATCATAAAATATTGGAGCCTAAAATAAGCCAAGCTTCAGTATCTTGCTAGTCGGCCCTGCTGGCTCCCTGCTGGCAGGTATTTCAAGAGCCAGTGGAGCCGACCAGCAAGATACTGAAGCTGGGCGCAGCGGAAGATTCCTCCATCCACACAGTTTAGCGTAGATGGAGGAATCTGATGCACTTTTTCCATCTGACCACAGAAAATCTGCAGATAATCTATAGGTGTATGGCCAGCTTTTTTGAATCGCTATCAGTCAGATTAGGTAAGGTGTTTTCTGTTTTGCTTGTGTTATTGCACTTTGTACATACTTATAGTTTTTTAACTATAGAATAGAAAATGCCTTCATTTAAAATTACAGACAAACTAACTTTGAATTAATTGTCACTAATAATTACTGCAGTTGACAGCCGATTTACCAAATTCAGAATAATACTGCTTTTATTTCCCTAAGTATTAGCATGTAATTCTACTTTGCTTTTCTCCAGTGTTGTGGTTTATATGGTATACAGAGTTATAGACATTTGCTGTATGTAAGCGAACATTCATTCTTGCTGGATATGTATTAGGTGCTAGTGAGTCAGTCTGCAGGTACTATATTATTTGCTTCTAGCTTATCTGTTTTCTAAGTGAAAAAGCACCATGATGTGATTTGTAACTAATATTCTGTTAGAGATAAAAAGCTCAAAAAGTGGGTTGTGTGCACATGTATGAAATGTTCATATTCCGCAGATGTCGACATATTTTAAAGCAAACATGTGGAATTAAAAAAAGTTGTATCCAGCAAGGCAAATAGTGTTGTGCAAATGACAGCATCCAATCAGAATTGATATTGACTTTAGTGCCATAACACTTGATTGGTTGCTGTGGGTTACAGCACTTTTCACTGTACCTTTGCTTTTTGCACAGGCTTTACTGAATAGTATATGCATTAATAAATATAGAATAACGTAGAAGATACATATAGGAATATGTTTTGCTTAAAAAAAACACTCTCCTCTTCCATGTCTCCATCTCCCCATTATCTCCCCCTTCATGTCCCCATTACCTCCTCCTTCATTACCCCAGCTCTCCTCTCCCTGACTTCACACTCTCCTCTTCCATGTCCCCAGCTTCCCCCCATCTCCCCCTTCACGTCCCCAGCTTTCAGCTCCCTGACCCCACACTCTCCTCTCACATGTCCCCTTCATATTCTCAGCTCTCTATATCTCCCCCTTCATGTCCGTAGCAGGCTTCTCATAGCCAGGGAGTTGGAGCTTTCGATAGCACACAGGCAGCTTTATGGTAGGCAGCCGTTCTGTGTGATGAGGGGGCGGGAATAGCCCCGCTTTCCACTCGGCTGCTGCGCCGGCTCGGTCATACTTCACACTGCGCCCGGCCGGAACAAGGTAAGGGGAGCAGCGTGAAGCACGAAGGGCCCTGGACAGGAGGAAGAGACCCCCAGTACTGATATTAGCGGTTACCGGGATATTAAATATTCTGGTAATCAGCGGTTACTAGGGGCCCCGTCCTCCTGTCCTTGGCCCCTTCTAAGTGGCGGAACTTCAGGCGCCCGGTCGCAAACTGTGATGCTTAAACATGAAGCAATTTATAAAGCATCATACTTTCTCTTTCATCCAGAATATTGTTGCAGTGTAATATAAAAATTCACTTTGGGTGCAACAACGTTGACTGATTCCGTGTGTCACCCAGGCACAGAGAAATCTAACTCTATGCAGTTTAAAGGCTACTCTCTGCAGAATTGGTTTTAAATCAAAGGGTTATGATTTTACAGCACAATTTTAAAGGGTAATTCTCCTAATGAAAAATTAATATTTATTCTGACCTTAGATGTCCCTGTTTCCCCTCTTGTAATGCCTGGCCTGCTCAGCACAGATTCCCTCCATTCATTCCTATTAGTTGGGCATTGCACTTGTGCACTACAGGAGAGGTACCAGGCTTCATGTCAGAAGAAAACACTGCCGCTGCTGCACAGGGGCATCTGGGGTCAGTGTATGTATTTTACTTTTAGATGGAGAGGGAGTCATTTGTCCAGCATGTCCGTCATCTCAGCTTACGCCACAGTAATAAATGAAGGTCCTCACACCCACCTTTTGAGCTTTTCTCTCTGTACACTGCACTAATATGCATTAGCAATGCTTTAGTATTTAATAAAATGTATCCCTTGTGTTTCTTTCTTCTTCTTCCTTTTCCCTTTGCTGTCTTCTACTTGCTTTGCATATTTAACTGCTTCCTTGCTTACACATTGCACGTGGGCATCTGCTGCCACCTTCTGGGGAACTCAGACTAAACAACCCCTTCATGTCCCCATTACCTCCTCCTTCATTACCCCAGCTCTCCTCTCCCTGACTTCACACTCTCCTCTTCCATGTCCCCAGCTTCCCCCCATCTCCCCCTTCACGTCCCCAGCTTTCAGCTCCCTGACCCCACACTCTCCTCTCACATGTCCCCTTCATATTCTCAGCTCTCTATATCTCCCCCTTCATGTCCGTAGCAGGCTTCTCATAGCCAGGGAGTTGGAGCTTTCGATAGCACACAGGCAGCTTTATGGTAGGCAGCCGTTCTGTGTGATGAGGGGGCGGGAATAGCCCCGCTTTCCACTCGGCTGCTGCGCCGGCTCGGTCATACTTCACACTGCGCCCGGCCGGAACAAGGTAAGGGGAGCAGCGTGAAGCACGAAGGGCCCTGGACAGGAGGAAGAGACCCCCAGTACTGATATTAGCGGTTACCGGGATATTAAATATTCTGGTAATCAGCGGTTACTAGGGGCCCCGTCCTCCTGTCCTTGGCCCCTTCTAAGTGGCGGAACTTCAGGCGCCCGGTCGCAAACTGTGATGCTTAAACATGAAGCAATTTATAAAGCATCATACTTTCTCTTTCATCCAGAATATTGTTGCAGTGTAATATAAAAATTCACTTTGGGTGCAACAACGTTGACTGATTCCGTGTGTCACCCAGGCACAGAGAAATCTAACTCTATGCAGTTTAAAGGCTACTCTCTGCAGAATTGGTTTTAAATCAAAGGGTTATGATTTTACAGCACAATTTTAAAGGGTAATTCTCCTAATGAAAAATTAATATTTATTCTGACCTTAGATGTCCCTGTTTCCCCTCTTGTAATGCCTGGCCTGCTCAGCACAGATTCCCTCCATTCATTCCTATTAGTTGGGCATTGCACTTGTGCACTACAGGAGAGGTACCAGGCTTCATGTCAGAAGAAAACACTGCCGCTGCTGCACAGGGGCATCTGGGGTCAGTGTATGTATTTTACTTTTAGATGGAGAGGGAGTCATTTGTCCAGCATGTCCGTCATCTCAGCTTACGCCACAGTAATAAATGAAGGTCCTCACACCCACCTTTTGAGCTTTTCTCTCTGTACACTGCACTAATATGCATTAGCAATGCTTTAGTATTTAATAAAATGTATCCCTTGTGTTTCTTTCTTCTTCTTCCTTTTCCCTTTGCTGTCTTCTACTTGCTTTGCATATTTAACTGCTTCCTTGCTTACACATTGCACGTGGGCATCTGCTGCCACCTTCTGGGGAACTCAGACTAAACAACCGTGCCTTTCTGTTGAGCAGTCCACCATCTTTATGCTTTCTCAGACCACAGGCAATCTAACTTTCTAATGGACTTAAAGGTGATACTTTTTTCTGACTTTTGCATGATCATATGTTCTTCTACAGACAAATGGGGCTTTCTGTCGTTCATTTTCTGGGTTTCCGTTTCTCCAGGTCTTGTCATTGCAATATAAATATGAGGGATTCCTTTTATAAATATTTTGATGGGAAGGATCTTCTGCTGCTACCTTGTCATTTAGTTAGGTCTTTTGGCTTCATTTTGTGTTAAAGCTTGCTGTAGAGAGAACTAGGGAAAGCAAATGTTTATAGCTACAGGTCAGAATCCAGCTGTCCTTTTCTAATCCACATGGATTAGAAATGACTG